GAGCATGGGTTTAGGCTCGGCAAGGTGATGGATCAGTCCTGTTCCAGGACCCCAGGGGTCCCTAGGAGTTGCCTGTATGCCATCTCTAGCGTCTCAGGAACAGTCTGGCCAGGGATGCTTGACCACGTACTGAACTGATGTTCTAATTAATGGAGGACGTGTGCTGGAAGAAAGTGATGTCCTGGACCACTCTGGGTGGAGAATAAGTATTCAACATGGATGTAAGTGTGGCATCGTTTTACTGCTGGTGGCACATGCACCTTGTTGACTCCACTGGTTTACAAACCAGCTGGTGAGAGAAACAAAACCGGTATCAAAATATGCTCTTCATAGACCAGCATGCTGGCTAATATTTATGTTCAGTTGACAGTTGTAATTGATAGCAGTAACACATCAAAGTAGGAAAGGAGGAAGTTAAATACTATAAGACATGCTGTAGGTGTTATGCAGAGCACTGTGGAAACCCTTTCTTCTTGCAGTCTTGAAAATTGTTTTTTTTCTTCCTCATCCCAGAAGGCCAAAATGAAAATCTTGGCTTTAGTTGAATTTTGAGTTACTTTTCAGAAACAGCAGTCAAATGAAAGACATTTCAAACATGACTGCAGAGCATGGAAAGATCAGGAAACAGTGCTAGCTGGGATTTTCAAAGCCATCTAAGGAATGAAGGTGACTTAAGTTACCTGTGAGAAGTGAGTGGTTAGTTCCCTTTGTCATCTGTGTTGACGAGTGCTTTTAGCCTGGATGTAACTACGCATGGTATCGTTACAGGGATAGCCACCTCTCATGACTTAAGCTCTACCTGTATAAGCATGTTTTGGAGTCTAACAGCAGGTGCTCTGTGGGCTTCTGCCTTCTTGCTGTGGGTTAGCAATTGCATCTCCTCAGACCCCTATTGACACAGCTGTGTTGACAGGAACCAGAGTCATAGGTCTGGTGATGGCTCACTGGGATCTACAAATTCACCCTTCTTGGATATGCTGTTGTGCTACTAAATGCACATGACAGATGGATCAGTGTAAAGCATTAAAATAACATTTATGTCATTGTTTAATATAATTGTTTAATCTACGGTTGTTTATATAAATCACAGGAGCTGAACTTAATGCAGGAATAATTCAACCACATGCAAAAGGGACAGAAGAGAGGAATGATCAACATGACATGATTTCTTTATATAAAATAGCATATCCGAGAAGTATAATATTGAGTTGAACATGGAAGGCTCAATTGAAGTCACCTGTTATTCTCTCTATGACAAGGCTGGGGGGACACAACAATGACCCTGCTGAGCTACCTGCGGGATTAGCTGCCTTCTGCACAAGGTTTTTGTTTACCAGCCTTCCCCTTGGGTATGTTAACACCGTAAGCACTGCTGTGAATAGAATATACATGCACAGCCTTGGTTTTGAGTAACTCATTTGAGATCTTGTCATACCCTAGCCTCAGCTGGTCAGGGCTTACCACAGGCTGCAAAATAGATCTTAGAGGTAAGGGCAAGCTGAGCTCCACAACAGCTACCTGTGTCTAGGCTGGCTGACTTACAACTGTCCTGCCTATGGTTGCCACGCACTGCTGTGATAATTAATACCTGAGCAGCAACAGTAGCATAAACAAACTCCAGGAAGAGATTTGGTTTGGCTGGGAAGTCGCTCGTGTGATAAGACTTCTTGCTCCTGCAGATAGATGAAGGAGGGTGCCTGATGTTCAACAGGAGCCTTTCAAAACTGTCACCACTCCTGTCATTTCTCAGATGATAGTGTGAGCACATGATGTTACAAAGACTCGGACTCCTGGGGAAAAGATAAAATACTGTATCTTAACCATTTCTCTCCCCTCCTCCCCTATTCTATTTCAACCTTCAAAGGATTTTTTTCAGGAGAGAAAGATAAAGTGATCTGGGGCTTAGTTCCCACTTCTGCTCTATGCTTCCTGTGTGATGGTAGATAGTAGGTTGTGATTTTCTGTACCTCGGTTTCTTCTCCATTAAATTAGAATAGGCACAATTTTAAAATCATTCATGTAATTGTGCCAGTTGAGTATAGAGGCAAGATCTGCAGACATAAGGCTACCAGGAGATGCAGGAAATTGTAGGGGCCGATTTTGAAAGATACCTGTGTTAGACAGCCAAGTGTGTGGGTTTAGGTGCCTTACCTGATTAAATGTTTTAGAAAATTTAATTGGGAACCAGGCTGCAGAGTGCCTAAGTACCATGGAGATTGTAGCTCTAGGGTCTTTGGTGTCCAAACAGATTTTAAAATAGGGACTCGTATTCTTTATTTGCTGAACAGATTTTTAAAATGCTACTAAGTCATAATGTTTCTGTTGTTGTTGTTTGTCTGTTTTGTCTAATTAGGCTCTGGCAGAACAATTGCAATCTCTTTTACTTCGTGTTTGTGCTGTGCCGGATAGACATAACCCTGAATTTAGTTCTCCTGTAGATGCTAGTTCAATAAAAATAACAATACTTTTACTAATGAGAATAACTATGTGAAGCCAGGATTCATGCTAAATTAGTATTCATTAGTGACTTAGATCTATAATGAAGGTTTCCTTGCTCTCTGCTGTGTGTCTCAATTCGTTACAGAGCAGTCCATAATATTTTATTAACAACATTTTTATTTTTTTCTGGAACCGTTGCCCAAAACTATTGGAAGAATATGTGCTTTCCTGTAGCATCAGAATGAGACAAATGACACTGCTTGCTTTTATTATTGTACAGAAGTGTCTTTCCTTTGGACTCAGATAGACTTGTAAATGGCAAGTAGCTGGAGACTAATGGAGCACATGCTTCAAAGCTTTCCATCTGGTCCCTTGGTGAGCAAAAAGAATATATGGTCTATGTTCTAATCAGTCCTCATTACAAAGAAAGTACTCCCGCTCCAAGTTCCTGGAGAAACTCTTACCTTTACTCAGAGAGGGAGAGAGCAATAAGTACTGTCCCCTTATGCATGTGCAGGAACAAAATGAATGGGGTAAAAAGAAAAAATGACTAATTTTGCATTCTGAAACTGGATAATGCATCTGTCAACACGTATTTATTCTGGTGGCCTTCAGTGACATTTTCTAGTGACAGCAGGAGAGAGGCCAAAATTATTTCAAGGAGACCCCATACATACTACTTGAGTGAGAACTATATTAATTTGAATGTGAGCAAAACTACTTAAAATGAGGTTCCTTTTCTAATTTGTTACATTGGAATTTTCCTCAGTGCTCCTCCTTCAATCATCCCATCAAATAGCCCCTATTTATTCATTTATTTATTTTATTTTTTCACATACATTTAGGAAGAAAAAGGAAGGAGATACTCCCCCCAATGGAGAGCATCTGCTCTTTTCTTATTGGGGGGAAAAAAAACCCTACAATTAGTGTCTTGTTCATCTTTTCGTTTTAACAAAAAAAGAGAGGGAAAGAAAGAGAGAACTATTATGCAAATACTCTGCAATTTGGTTTCAAATATTCTTTGTACTATGATGAGCAATTTCCTTTAATACAAACTCAGCCTACTTGCCAGGACTTTTTTTTGCCTTAATATAGGGAAGGAAGGAAAAAAACCCACCAAACTTGTATGAGTTGGGGGATGCCAACTTTTTCTCATCCTTTTTTTCTATCTCTCTTTCTTTGGCACTGTTACAGCTGTTATTCTTTAAGTTGTCAGAAAGATGTCGTATAGATTTTTTGAGAAAGAAAGAGAACCAAAATAGCTTTACAAAGCCGCAGTTTCATCTCACTTTTCATTGTTCCATTGCCATGATGAAGTGGTCTTGAAATGGAGGACTCAGCTTAGTAAATGAGAGAGAAAAGCTTTCTCCCTGCCTTTTTTGAATGCCAATTGCTTGTGATGGCAGCATTACCTCCAAGAACAGATGTGTAGGTTTTTTAAAAGGAGCTCCTGTGCTACTTGTCAGTGGTACGAACTTTACAGCCCAATAATGTAGCCAAGATTAAGTTGTCCTGGTCCTTGGTATTGGACAACCTAGCTAGCTAGCTGAAAATCTCTGAAAACTTATAATCTGGATCAGATAAATAAAGTATAGAAGAAGAAAGGAATATTATCTGCTGTTCATTGTGGGGGAAGCTGAAGCTTGGAAAAAAAATGAAGTAACTCACCCAAGATCTATTGGTAGAGGATTTTGGAAGACTCAGGAGCTCAGCTAAGAGGCTTGGATTCAGAAAGCTACTGCTTTGTGTAGTGGTCTACTTGTGGCAACATCAGGAACAGGCAGGACTGCTGCTGCAGCTGGGCTGCTACTATACCATCATGACCACTAGTTTAGGCTATGGCTGTACAACAGTCATAGATGGTAGCATGGTCATATCCTAATGGAATAACAAATCTGCTGACTTGCAGTAGGACTTGTGAGCATCAGACCCATTTGAAAAGCCCACACTAAACCTGATTCTTAACCCTTTGCTGGTTGAACTTTGGGAAAGCTTCAGTCGACATATAAATCTTATATGCTTAAGCCTGTAAAATACTAAGCATAAAATCTCTGATCTAGGAAGGCATTTTAGCAGAGCTTAAGCAAATATCTTTCCAAATGAGGCCTAATTGGCCATCGAACTATTCATGAGTAGCATAGTTTGCTTGCATAGAAAAAAGCTAGTGCCCAGTGAATTGACCACAAGTTGGGAAGATATATTCAAGAAACAAAATTAAGGGAAGTAAAACAAGGCCAGTGAGACCTTTAAGCAAAGTCAAGGGTGTCATGCATCTTTGCTTCTGTGGCTGTAATGGGGCAGGGAATATAGGGCAGTGCAGAATTTCTGATCTGAGCCTTCGCTGGATATGTTCAGATAGTCTGACTCATTGTTTGGGGCTCATTGTATCAAGCATCTGTTACATCAGAATGGATTCTGCCTAGGTGTGCCTAGCACTGGATAGACAACAGAGGAATTCATGGTGCTTAGATTACACCGATCCCCTTTAGATGCTCTATGGGAAATGTGTGCACAGACTCTTTACGCACACTGGAGTAACTGGGTCACTTTTGTTGTTACAGGAAGCTCTTATCATGGCCAGCATGGACCATCCGCACCTGGTGAGACTCCTGGGTGTCTGCTTGAGCCCAACCATTCAACTAGTCACTCAGCTGATGCCTCATGGCTGCCTGTTGGATTATGTTCATGAACATAAGGATAATATTGGCTCCCAGCTTCTGCTAAACTGGTGTGTCCAAATAGCTAAGGTATGTAGTTTATGCTGTTCTTTTCTTGTCATTTTTGTAACTGACTGAGAAACATGCCATGCAAAAAAAAGATACAAAAAAATTGTTTGGGTTTGTTTTGGTTTGGTTTTTTTTTTTCAGGTCTGTTTTTGTTTTCAAGAAGGCTGGGTAGTTCTTGAAATACACACTATTTTGGCTTCTTACAGTATTACAGATTAATTGTTAATATGTAAACCAAAGTGTTGTTCTTGACTGCCTTTCCAACTCAGTATTAATGGGAAGTCTTTCCAGAGGGTGGGTGGGGAAGGGCAAGTGGGGGAAGATGACCCCTGTGTGACATCTGGGGCTGAGCACAGAATGTTATTTCAGTCTCTTCTGCTGTTCACTATTCATAGACACTGATTTAACCTGATTGTAGTTTTCAACCTTTCTGAATCTGCATTGCCAGTTAAATTCTGATATGCCACAACTGTCTGCCCCCACACTGCCAAGAAGATAAGTATTCACTTCACGTCACTCCTTTGGGAACCACCGTGGTTCTGCTGTGTTTAAGACCTATCACAACAGCTGAGACTGGAGGGGAATATTGCGCATCTCTGCAGAACGGGAAATCTCAAGGGCTGGATCCTGCTTTGCTTGCCATGGCGTAATGCTCTCTGCCTTGCTGTGCAGTTTTAGGAGCAAGGGTGAAGCCGTTATCGTTCAGATGCAGCCTATACTTCAGCTGAGGTGAAACAGAGTATAGGTCATAAACGCAACCCTAATGTGATTCTTGCACAATGTATATGTATGTTTTTAGGTACGTTTAGGTGTTCAGTGGTGTACTAAGACCAAGTTATTGATAATGCATTGCAAAGAGTAACAAGATCTGGGAGGGTAGGGGGCCGTAGTTCTTCTCCGTTTTAAAGGCTCTCGCAACCAGAGTTGTGTAAAATGATGTTACTATGAATGAGAATCCAGAACCTGCTTTTTCTTTAGAGTTATTTAGAAGTTTTAGATTATTATTGTGAAAATGCTTGTTATATACAAATGTGTGCCACAGACTGCCCTCTTAGCTTAAATCTGCAGCCTTAAGTGAATTTGCTACAACATCCATTAAGAAATCTTAATTCAAGTTGTAATGTTAATCTTTTAGCACTGGAGAGAAACCTGGAGGTTCAGCAATTGTTTTGCTGGACTGCACAGTGGCCATCAAGTAAATATTTGCTTCTTTTTAAAACTTAAATACAAAATATTTTCTTACAAAAGAAAGAAAATTGAGAAATTCAGCTAGTGCGGAGGAGTTTTTTTTCAAGGAGAGGAGGAGTTTGAGGTTCATCATTAAGAGGGACTGTTTTCTTTCCAGGATCAGATCTGTTGTCGAACCTGCCTGAAGCTGACAGAAGATGAAATTACCATAATGCTGGGTAGAGGGGTTGATCCATAGAAGGGGCAGGGGTAATCCCAAACCCACATTCTGATGTTGGAGCGTTTTGTAGATGTGTCGTTCTCTGTGATTCTGCTATGCTGAGGTGGTAAAGCAGCCAGAGTTGCACAGAATATTGGAACACACTGATGGGGATTGCCTGTATTTGGAGATTTGTTTTATTTAGGGCTGTTATCAAACCAAGGAAGGTGGGGGAGAAAATACGTAATCCTGTTTGAGTCCTTTCTCTCAACACAGCCTCCTTCCCATCTGTTCTCCACTCTCTTGATTGATAGTGGCTGTTATTATTTATTACAAAACATTTACACAGTGGCATACGTGAAAAGATAATCCACCTTTATTTTCACTTTGTGTATGCATATGGCCATTGACTCATTGGACTAATAGCTGTACTTGCTTTGCTATGGACTTTATGTGGGCAGCTGATTTAGTGAAGCAAATAACCTGATCCATAGCAGAGGCTTACAGAGCTGACATATCTGTGGGAGGGTCTGTGGAAGGCAGGTCATAGTTTTCCTATGGTGATTCTTATCAAAGTGAAACGGGTTCTAAGCTGATTTCCATTGTGAATGGTTTCAGCATAAAGTGGGGATTGGATTTAGGTACACTCATTTGAATGTCATTGCCCGCCGGTTTTCTTGATCACCATGTGATGTGGGAGGAGAAGATGAGATATTACAAATATTTGAGTTCTGAGATGGTGCGTAACCATCAAGTGGTGCAAAGAAGTGAGATCATACGCGTAATATTAACTGATGAAGTGTCAGGAAGAGAAAGGAAGATTCTTTGTAACAAAAGGTGGCCTATTATTGATGGGAAGTTTAGTGAAGTTTAGTTAGTTTGTTGAAGTTTAATTAAATTCATCTTCTACTGCATCACAATAATCTTGAGGTTAATTTTGCGTTGGCCTCACGTTACAGCATGAAGCTCGTCTGCTTGACTACCCACAAAGGGGACAGCAACCAGTGACTGTTTTCTTGAAAAAGTGCAGGACTTGGTACATATGGGTGACCTGTTAACTCTGGGCCATCACAGTTTGTCCGGATTATTTTCTCCTTGCTTTCTTTATTTGTGTTTTTCCCTTCTCTTATTTTTACTACAGCGGTTGGTACTGCGCATGGAGAGAATCAGTATGCATCTGACAGGAAGTTCTGCATTTTGATAGTTATGCATGCTTGTCAGTGGTATTTAGTAGGGGTGGTTGTTAGAGTTGAGAAGGTCACCACAGGTACTGACTGTGCATACCATGCCAGTATGGTGTAATCCTATTGTGGAAGTAGATGCCAAAGAGTTAAAATGTAGCTTTAACTCCTTATTTCCTTCTTAACTTTGGAGACCTTGAATGACAGCTGTGTGTTGTAAAGATACATATCTTAATTGTTATATAGGAGGCTCTCAGTGAAGAGAGGAAAGTGGTAGAGTCACATGAGGCTGTGCACACCGCAGGATGTGTAAGAGTAATGCAGATGTTGCACAGAATTTTCTGCATTGCATTGTGCTTTCTGATGGGATACAGGAACGCCTGTACCCTTGCTATCTCTCAGACTGTAATGTAGATTGGTGTTGGGGGGCGTACACAAGGAAATGTTTGAGATCACCAGACAAGGAGTCCCCTTATCCCAAAAAGTGGAATAAAACGCTCTAGCAACAGGGGAGTAGCAATACTTGTTTTCCACTCATCTGTCACGTTTAACGGTGACTAGGAATCAGTCTGCAGCCTGCAAATTGGAAAGATTCAATTTGCCTACAAACAGACTGGTCTCTAGAGGAATGAAGGCAGAAGGTGGCGATTGTATCAAGCACAAGTTTCCATTCGCTGTCAGAAAGGACTGTGTATCCCACATACCTCTATCCACTGTGCTCACGTTTCAGGCTCTGCCATACAGCTTGAGAATGTCTTTCCACGTCTTTTCTAAACTTTTGGGAATGATTGGTTGTGTCTTTCTGAAAGCTACCAAAAATGTGATTAGCAATGTAATAAAAGGCAAAAATTATCAGTGACCTCCCAGTCCTATTCTCTGCTCCCTGAAGCAGCTTCTGGTATCTGTCTTTTATTAGATACATCTTTCTACCTTCACATTCCTTCTTTTTAGGGAGAGAATTTTCCCCAGCTAGAGGAGGACTGAAGGAATTGGAACTGACTCGATTCCAAAGTTCAGGCTGATTTTTGCGAATCGTTTAAAATCAAGTTGCTGCTGCAATACAGTTCTTCCCTACTGCACTTTTCTCCATCTGCCAATGTGCAGGCATTTATTTATCGAAGTCAATGCTTCAGAGTTCACTTGTTCTGCCAGGCTGTTCATTTCCATATGTCTCTACTTCTGTACAACTAGATGCAAAAACTAGTTAGGTGCTATGCCTGGTTGCCAACTTGCATATGGCTCTGGAGATCATTTCTGAAGGTTGATGACAGGGCAGTTATTAAGTATTATCTACTGCCAATTCAAAAAAAAAAAAAAAGCTTGGATGCTTTTTCTTTTTGCTTATACAGATTGTGTTGAATTTATTCTGACTGTTACATCATCGTAGGGTAATTGTGTTCTCTTTTTCACAAGCTTTAGCTTCTTATTTTATGGATGAAAGTTATAAAAATAGAGTAGCCCCCAAGCATTCTGCATAAAACATGGTTGTTAGCAGCTGTGTCTAAGGGGGTTCTTCCCTTCTGCTATGCAGATACACAAGGCATCTCCTTGTCTCTCACTTCTACATGTAGTGTCTCACTTAGGGACTGAATATTTAACCTTTCAGCTCTGAGTTCAGGTCAGCAATTTTATGTGGAGTTTGGTGTCCAGTAAAGCAGTGAATTATGCTCACATATCAAGATATTTCCTACACTGGGAGCAAGAGTGACAAGCTTGGTGGCCTTAGGGTATGGAAGGATGGAATAATGCTTCATGGATGTCTATAGTCTTGGCTACTTGAGAAACAGATTGAGAATCAAATTCTAGGCATGAACCTGGAAGTGAATCCTCAGTAGGTGAATTACGTCCTTGTCAGCCTGTGTGTGACAGATGCATGTAAATCAGGAAGACCCATCTACTGTTTTACTGTTTTTCGTGGGACAATTATTGTTTCATTCTACTGCTCTTGAGATGCATTACTTCTGCACCAATTTTGCTGAGCAGTGTTTGAAAGCAGAGGAACTTTTCTTCCCTGAAGAAGACGAGGCAGAGGAAGAGTGAGACCAGAAGCAATCTTCCTAAAACAAAGCAGCTTGCCTATGATCACCTAGCCTGTGGACGAGAGCTCAGCTCTCCTGAGTCTTAACTGGTGCCCCATTTTGTTCTGCCCTGTATCCCCCAGGGGCTGCCAGATCTGTTTTTTTGTCTTCTGAACTACAGTAACTCATTCACAATCCTTCAGAATACTAACAAGGTAAAGCAGAAGTAGGTTGACACAGTGGAATGTCACGGAAGGAAAATCAAGTATGTCAGGGGATTACTTTTTATACCTTTTTCAATATAAAAAAATTCTCAAATTACCTTAACTAAAGCCCTGCACAGCATCAGCAATCCAGATATGCAGGAAAACAACATCTGAAAACACTCTAGGAAAGAAAAAGAGAACTTGGGGATCGAATTTTAATGAAGTAGAT